CTTGCTCTTCGTTTGAAAGTTGTGTTCCGAAGAGCAAGAAGAACGGGCTGTAGCAGTTAGGAGATATACGTCGGTTGAATATGGAAACAGCGCGAGAGAGTGCGTCGACAAGTTTCATTCCCGGGGCATCGAGGAGAGTTCTTGTTAGAATGGCCTTTAAGATACCGTTGGCCTGTTCTACCCTCCCATTACTCCGTGGTCGGATAGGCGTTGACTGCGTGAAGGAGAGATTGTGTCTGTGCTGAAACTGTTGTGCTTCCGTTCCAGTGAAACACAGCGCATTGTCACTGATTATTTGACGCGGGGTACCGAAAGTGTTCATGATGTACATGAGCAGAGGAATGGTGTTCACGAAGTCTGCGTTGGGAACCAATCTCGATTCTAGCCATCCAGTGGCGTATTCAATCGCATTAAGAAGGATTTGGGGTCCGATTCTTGTGTGGTCGATTCCCCAACGTGTCAGCGGCAGTGAAGACTTTATTGGAGTTAGGTTACCCAAAGCTGGATCTGGTGGTTTCATCAATTGGCAAGAACGACAATTAATGATTGCCTCGTGTGCTGCTAACATTAATTCTGGGTGCCAGTATCTCCGTTCGGTTTCGCGCATTGTTGTGCCAATGGATGCATGACCTTGGTCCTCGTGAATTCTTGTGACAGTTGATACCAGATCTTCGTAATCCAATACCTCTAAAAGTGTCGCAATTCCTGTTGGGCCTGATGGATCCCCGATTTGATGGGTTCGTGTCGTTTTGATGAGGTGAAGTTTGTCATTGAAAACTGTAAAGTTTTGGATGACCCAGTCCTTGGAAATCTTTGGCAAAAGCTGTGGAAGTAAGGTTAGGTGTTCGAAGACACATTGGAGGTCGAAACGATTCAACTGGTGAGGGTATTTGTCAGGAGCAGGTTCACTAGGCGCAGGGCTCGAGGCATAGGAGAGGGCGTAGCGTACGATGTACTGAGGAAGGACGCCTCGTGGTAACGCGGAGGGCTTTCTAGAGAAGTGGTAAATGGGAAAGCTTGGAGTCGTTCTAGATAGAGGGGCCGGAGGTGACGGTAGGTCACTATGTTTGGCAGAGGACGAGAGTGAGATGTGATTAGAATAATGTAACTATTCCTAAAGACAGAAAACAAAGCGTGAAGATCTCAGTCTCGGAAATGGAAACTACATAGGTGCCCTCGCTAAGCAATAAAGACTAGTGGGATTAAACAAGGAACCCATAAATCCTGCCTGAGGCATTTCTCAAGAATCCTTACAGTATTTAACCTCGTCATTTTCTTGCAATTCGGAGGCCCTATCCTCTTCTTCTAGTAGCGGATAGACTGGGTCTGTCGGTCTAGAAAGGAAGTCTGCAAGAACGTTGGCTTTGCCTGGTCGATAGAGAATTCGGATATTATAATGCTCTATTGTGTCAAGGAAACGAATCATCCGTGGTGGCTGTTCAGCTTTGGTCAGGATTGACTTGAGAGATTCATGGTCCATAATGACTGTTATATCTCCGCCTTCAACCCAATGACGCCAGTGTTGTATGGAGAGGAGTATGCCAAGCAACTCTCGTTCCTGCGCAGAGTAGCATTGTTGTGTTGGATTTAACTTCCTGGAGAAGTAAGCAACAGAGTGTAGAAGCGAATGCTTGTGGTTGTCATTGGTCGAGTGACGATGAGGTTGCAGAAGAGCAGCTCCCACAAAGCGTTGTGCAGCGTCGCTTTCTAACACAGTTGGTAGTCTCCAATCGAATTTTTGTATTACTGGAGCTGTTGTGAGGGCATCTTTGATTTTATCGAATGATTCAATTGCCTCTGCAGTCAGTTTTACTGGAAATTTTTTTGGTCCTATTGAAAGGTCGGTTAGTGGGCCAGCCAGCTGAGAGAAATTTTTAATTAAAGAACGTAAGTAACCGGCTACGTTAACAAAACCCCTATTATCTGAAGTTGTTGACAGTATAGGACGTCCGCGGATGGCAGCAACTTTTTCGGGATCTGCTGTGATGTCGTATTTTGAAATGAGGAATCTGAGAAAGACACCTTGTTCGACAAAGAGTCTACACTTGGCTGCATTGAGAATTAAGCCATATTTAACAAAACGGGCAAAAACTTGCTGTAATCTCGCATGCAATTCCTCGTGCGAATCCCCCCAAATGCACACATCATCCAGAAGGCTAGATACAAACAGTCGATATGGCTGTAGTACCTCTTCCATTAAAGATTGGAAAGTTGCTGAAGCATTGCATAGACCAAAAGGCATGACAAGCCATTCATAGATACCAAAAGGCGTCACGAAGGCTGTCTTTTCTTGTGAATCTTTATGCATTGGGACTTGCCAGAATCCATTTTCTAGGTCTAAGAACGTGTAGAATTTATGTCCCGCAGCTCGCTGTATTTCGTCCTGAGCATTTGGGAGTGGGTGCGCGTTTTTCTTAGTGACCTTGTTGAGTTCTCTGTAGTCCACACAAATTCTCCAGATTTGTTCGTTTGTCTTGGATGGTGTCTTTTTGGGTGTGAGATGCAATGGTGCTGCCCACGGGCTTTGACTTTTCCGGATGATTCTTCCCACGTGAGTTTTGCAAAAATCCCGGATTGCTTGTAGTTGATGTGGGCTATAGCGCCTTGGAGCGAGCTTAATTGGCTGACAGTCACCCGTATTAATGACGTGTTGTGTCTTGTACAGAAAGTTGGTTTTTCGGAGAGATTTATTAAAAATAGAAGGAAAGTCGTGAATATAAGAGCTGGTAAAAGGAAATAAATTAGCTGGCGTTGACTTGTACCATTTTGGCGTGAGTGGGATGTAATTGGTCGTAAAAACATGATGGATATTATCTGAATTAGAAAAAGAAAAAAGAGTTGGACATGATTGCAAGTTAGAAAGTTGAATAGTTTCGTCAGAAAGAAAGTGTAATCCGAAAGCGTGAAAAACTGTTTGGCCCAAGGTAAGGTCGGCGGGAAATGTATTATCAGGGACGACTCCAGCAGAAAATGTAACTGATTTGGTCCATTTGGAATGATTATTACTGCCTTGAATATGGAATTGTACTGTTATTATGGCATCTTTGGTAACTGTAGGTCCCATTCCACCAATTCCTGAAATCGTAAAAATGAATGAGGTATTATAGGAATTAAGTCGGGTGGCCAAGAAGTTGGAAACAAAACAAGTGGAAGATCCATTATTGAAGCTATCTTCACTGACCAAGCCGAATAAGGTAGCATTGACTGAACCATGCAGATTTGCATCAGGTATAGTTTTTCCAGGGTGTCTACACTAGCAAACCACAGTTTCCAGTCGTTTGGGAAAATCGCCTTGTTTCTTTCGGTCGCGTCACGAAGAAGGCCATTGAAGTTCTCGGCTTCCTTACGTGTGAAAAAATCTGGAAAAAATCTTTTCACTCGCATTTCTTGATCGCTAAGACCTGAGGTTTGGGGGTTGACAGATTGATAGAGATTTATTGTTCCGTCGGCAAGGAACTTGTTGTTGGCTGCAGTTGGTGGGGCGTTGAAGAACTGGATTTGATTCGACAATGAATTGTCGTAGCGTCGACTTTCAGTTCGCGTGGAAGTTGGGAACTCGCCCAAGACTTTCGGTATTAGTGGTTCCTGTTAAGGCACCGCCACCGAAGAAGCGGGGGCTTCCTGATTGGAGGACGAAACTTGTCGCCTCTGTTTGCCATTGTCTGGCGGTGGGGCTTCTTGAGTTGACGTAACTGTAGGAAGTAGACTGCTGGTAGCTGGATTCTTACTAGTCTTGGCGATAAAAGAGAGTTGTTGCAAGATGTGCGAGAGTGCATCGTCAGTTTTGTCCGCCCTGTGCAGGAGCTCACTAAAAGTCAATTTAGATTTTTCGGTCAGTTCTTGGATTGAATTGTCCGTCCTTTCCGCCCTTTCCGCGAGCTTCTCCAAGTCCTTGCTCAATTTTTGGAAGCGCTTTGTGGTGTCTTTGAGGTTCCTGATGGATTAGTATGTGTGAAAAGTGAGATAAGCTTAGCTTTAAGATAGCGTGGGTTACGGGTGTCTCGTGGCTCCAATCTACCAATATGTATAGTAGAGCTTAAGACTAGATGTAACTTGGTTTTCTATTAATTCAGGGTATCGTCTATATAAGTACAGTATTCCTAATCTTGCGCCCGGACTCCAACATGAACAACATTACATAAGCATTACAATTTATTAGAGCCTCGTACTAATCTAGAGGTCTGTCAATCTTGGATCCTCATCTTCCTGAAACGCCACCTGGTTGGCAGTGGCTTTCTTCAACTTGGCTTCGAGCTCCAAGTCTGTGAGGTCTACCATTATGATGTGAAATGAAAGCGAATATTAATGGCGTTTTTTTTAATTGAGATTTTCTCTACAAAAATATATATTTTTGTGGGTTTCGATCGATCACAATTGAAACAGGATGATGACCAATATAACTCGTGGCTCTACTACAGCTAGTTCCGCAGAATGCAATAGTTAAGCTTGAGTTCTAATAAATTTGTCTATATTTCCTCCTAACTCCCAACTCCGAAATCTGCACTTTGTGCGTAGCTTACTAATTATAGGCTAACCGCATTTAGTAGTCTATGTTACATAACGTAGCCTGCTACGTTAAGGATCCACAACAATGCTACAGATATCCCACGTCTCCATCGAGTAACATGTACAAATCTTGAGGGAAACTGCTTCTTTATTTCGGACGAGACTATTTGAGCCAAGGCTAAGGCTTATATCTTTTTCCAAATTCCAGTATTCATTTACATCTTATCATCATACTCATTAGTCATCGAAACCTTCTGTCTTGAATGATCATTGTTTAACCCATGGGAAAAAGCGGGTTTTACGGTTGTTTAGCATGACGCAGTCCGAGAAAAAAGTATTTACATTGAGGTGATTGAGCCAGAAAATGTGCTTGCATACCAAGGACTTTGATTCATTTTTATTGTCTGTGTATTTCTCTATCACTGTCGGCTACTTCTGAACTGGATGTGATTTGAACCTAGAAATGCTCATGTTCTATCTGAAGGTCCTAGTATTTACAGGCCGAGCATACGTTTACATCCGTCACGAACCCTTTTTTCGTATAATGGCCGCTCCTCTCTCCATTGCTTTGCTGCTTCTACGTTGGCGGGGCTTTCATCGTTCGGTTCCGCAAGCATGCTCATCACTGATATAAGTATTTTTTCCACACTCTGAATAGGGCTCCAGCGCTCCGAAGCATCTTCATAATGATTTGGGTCGGGTCCAGGTGGATGAAGGATACTAATGCATACTAATCCCGAGGGATATACTGCATAAAACTTTTAGTAAATTTATCGTTATTGATGGGTTAAGAGTAAAAAACACACCATTCGGATGCCAGACTTCGCCTAGAAATCGCATGCTTGGTGGTGCGAGTGGATAGTCTTTCGGGAATTTCAGCGCAGCTGGGAAAATGCCACCTTCAAAAGGAGTGCCCTCTGGGCCCTCAATAAGGGCTTCCCAGTACAGAAGATCATCTTCTGACACTGGGCCAGCAGTTATTCCTTCAGGTGAATTGTTGGTGAGAGCTCTGTATTCTTGGAGTAATCGGCGTTGCGCTGTTGAGGAAGCCATCAGTATGCACGTCGAATCGAATTGTGGTTGCGACTGTAGGTGTCCAAATCGACATCATGGGCCGAGCGTCATCCTCCTTGTCTCACAACTTAGCACCACCAAATCGTCACGGGATCCTATGACATCATTCTGTATCTTTTCTAATTAGAGGCTCTTATGCCATCTCTCATCATCGAGATATTTTCATATCGCCATTTTGAACACGCCCACGTCACAATTAGACAGCATGCCTCCTGGTAGACGGAAAAAGCCTGCCACGATCTTATTACCTGCGAAAACTATTACGCGTGCTGCCAAACGCGTAAGACTTAAGAGCTTACTTCCATCTGCACGCGAAGAAGCCATTCTTGCAGCATCCTCTGAGAGTCACCATTCTCCAGCCGAGTCAATTCTGATTGACACCGAAGATGTGTCCGTGGACTCCGGGTCAGAAAATGACTAACTCCCCGAACCGTTGCATATGCTCGAGCCTGCAACTAGGGCCCCAAAGCTACAAGCCAAAAGAGTCTTGAAAAAGAATTCTGGTACAGGCCTTTCCAATTCTATACATGCCTCTTCTAAAATTCAACTTATTCATACTCTGAAAGTAGATACCCAATCTACCTCCCCTCCGACGGGTGAATCAGCGCGTGTAATACACTAACCCTCAGCGGCCAAGACCAATGACATTGCCACATCGCTATTAGCATGGCAAAACGCCGGTGTTCAACACCTTCGCGCTCTTCCACCGGCTATTGCAGCTGATCTAAAAGCTATCATGACACGCAGCGCCGCCAGGGTCATTACCGGCTTGCCAGTCTTTGAGCAGTCAACAACTGTCACAAACTAATGAAAACAAGATAAATTATCCCCCTCCAGTAATAAACTCACCCCTGTCATACGCATCTATGGCAAAGAAAGGCTCCTCTATTCCAGCCCGCCACTCCAGACTAAGAAAAAAACTGCACCATAAGCTGTAAAATCCAAGCCCGACTCGAGGGTCATGGTTCGCCTAGCGCCTGATCACCCCTTAAGCCAACAAGATTCTCTCCTTGTCCGCACGAAGCTGAGAAGCCTTCTAGACCGTCCAGAGCTAATCAAGGACATTCGTTCAGTTCCATCTGGCATTGCTTTGGTTGCTCCCTCTCCTGATCAAGCAACAGATCTCCTCCAGGCAGCTGTAGCTCTGCAGCCCATGACTGGAATTGTACCAATTGAAAGTCGAGAAAAACGCACAAACTTTCTTCTAGGCCCAGTTCCAAAATACGGATACAATTCTTCCGGATCACCGGAGGCCTTATCCGACACAGATATCCGGCAGGAGGTAGCAGGTGCCAAAATTGACACTGAGTCAATTTTCTTTATCTCATGGACGCGACAATCGCTGGAATCCTCTGAATGGGAAGGAACCCTCCGTCTGGTAGTCTCAAAGCCAGCTTCACAGAAACCCCCGACCAGTATTCGCCTCTGTACTCGCTCTGCTAGAATCCGGCCAGCTGATAATCGCCCCCGCCTTCAAGTCTGCCCCCGCTGTCACGGATTTCACAACATAAACAGCTGCACACGTCGAGCCCGGTGTAGCATTTGCGCCTCGGACTCTCATAATGGTCCCTGCATGACACCTATAAAATGCTTGAACTGCGCTGGCCCACACTAGGCTTCTTCCCCTGGCTATTCAGCCCGTCCATTTCGAGCTAACGGAGTCTTTGCTCGGCCAGACAAAGAGAGAATACGGCTGATTCGACAGGAGGGACATAAAGCATGGCTTGCCCTGTATCCTCTTCCGCCTCCTAGTGACCTCCTTATCGGGAGTGCACCTCCACAAGCCTCATGCGCCTTTGCTCCAGCTCCTACACCAACAGTGGGCTCGGCATCTAGGTGTCACAAACCATCTCTGGGATGTCGCGTCGCACCCAGGCAACCGAGTTATAAGGTGCATATAATAACATAATTTAGGTATTGTAATGGTTACAGTGTTGTGATAGCAACAGTTGCCATTCAGAGTACTAGTTAGTTACTGTGTTATGGCTGTGGACTCCTACACCCTTGGTTATAGTATTGAAGCTCGTATACTTAAGGAGGCTCTAGGACTGGATGTGTACTGTAGCTTTTTGTCTTGTAAATTACTCATGTTTTAGAATCTAATTATTAATCTAAATATCTCGTCCTCATTATCAGCTTCTTTCTTCGTCCTCGTCTTCGTCCTCGTCTTCGTCCTCGTCTTCGTACTCGTCTTCGTACTCGTCTTCGTCCTCGTCTTCGTCCTCGCCCATGACACTAGGTTTGCTCCTCTGATTTCCCTTGAGGAGTCACTATGAGGGTCCAAAACAGGAACCTAAGAAAGCAGAAAACCCCAGGCCTCTGTTGGCACGCCTGAAGGTTCCCTCGCCTTCGGAAAATGGATTGAGCTGACGAAGTTCTTCGACGAAATCCAAAGAGCCCATCAGATATTTCCAAGTGTAATTTTACGATCTGGTGTGGGATTAATGTTAGGTGGAAGAATTTATTCCTCTTTTCTTGTTCTGCGGGTGTAATTTAAAACTAGTTTTAAAAATAAAGTAAAGTTCCTGGTAGAGGGAAATTTGCTACATTTAAATTGGAGTGCAGAGTGGCGGACAGCTGGTCGGACTCTTGTAATTTTTAGGTGCTGTAGTGCGCGCTAGAGCGTCGGGTAGTTCTGTAGGGACTGGGCCGTATGGTACGTGACATTAGTCACGAGCTGTTGACGGGTACGACGTTAAATTCAATCAAATCAGAGGCTCTTATGATAATAATATAATTATTAATATTATTCATTATCCTGATTTGGCGCCTTGAGGCCCATGCAGGTTTTATAGGAAGATATGTACTTTTGAGTAGGATGACTCAATTTGACGTTTAGAACACTCACACTCAAATTTCATTTGCAGATACCACTCGAGGTTAACCTTTACGGCTTATAACCTCTTCCTTGCGTACCCACCACAGGCAAAAGCGTGAAAACCCTGTGACCATCCGAGTGTGCTTTCGTAATCCCACAAGTACAATATCACCGCGAGAGAGTGTGGTGTGTGGGTCTTACTGGACTCGAACCAGCTTTCTCCTGTCTCGAATGGGGTAGGTGTGCAAGCTACCCAGTATCTACTTGGGAAAACGACCCGGATGGTGTACCACTGCACCATATACACGCCAACGCCGTATTTACATCTGACGGAGGAAATGAAGCGTGGCGCACAAATCTGGGACAGAGTTCTTTGGGATGGTCGTGAGAGGAATCAGGAAAGGCTCACTAGATAATGCAAAGGATGGATACAGTCTCGACGGGCGTGAAATTTCGAATCTTGGCAAGGAGTTTTTCGAATTGGGCTTTGTAAATGCCAAGTCTTCGGCTGCGAGAGTACAGGCGACACCAGAAACACCGCCATGGTTGGATGGTGCGGCGGTACATCGTCTTGGCCGGTCTGCCAAGTAGACTCTGGATAGCTTGGACACATATCCCACTCGAGACAGTAGATCGCTGGTTCAAATCCGGCAAAACACAACCACTTTTCTCGCGGCGCTGGCATGCTTGGATAACCAAAGCTTTTGAACTTCCCTTTCGTAGGTATTTACGGAGGAGGGTCGGCTGTTCGTGTAAGCGAACATACCTCAGTGGTATTTGCGAATGAAATCTAGAGTATGAGTATCTCTAACGTCAAAAGAGTCATCCAAAATGTATACCTCGCACTTTTCATGTTTGAGTTTTTTAAGTTCTGAGCTAAAGTAAAAGCCCTACGTCCTATTATGGGTACAGGACGGGTGGAGCAGGTAGAAATTCCTGTGTTCTTTTCAACAGCCCACTCATTCCTACCATGTGAGTCATTACCAAAAGTTCGGCAGATTGCAACCAGACGAAAATCAAAGAAAAACACGGCCGAAAGAAAACCGGAAGATTCCTCTACGTTGAGCCTAAGCAATGCACTCATGCATCTGTTGGCCCGTCACATCTCCCAAATTCCAACTTTTCCAATCTCTGCTGAGAGCGAGAGATAGGTAGCGGCTACCATTGATTCAGCTGGTATGCTGCTATTGGTCAGTAAAATGCCAGTTAGCGGCGTTATCGAGGTCGCCGTGCCCTAAAAATTCAATTGGAATAGTTCCGGATATTGAAAGAGTTGGATACTAGCCGTGAGATTGATTTAGAGGTATTCTGAATGTGTTTAGTATCCAATGAATTTTACAGATGAATGAAACATTAGTCTTGGCCGGCACAAGCCCTGCACTCAAAGAGCATGGGGCACTATTCTCAACACCTGTCAGCGGTGTCCCCTACGAACCTCCAGCTCTCACTGTAGAGTCTGCAGAGCCGAGATTGAGTAACAAAGTCCTCACTTCGAAGAGGATTCCCAATCGCTTTCGCCGTCTGTATTGTCTTCATCTCTCAACACATTCCCCTATCACCATTATCATGAAGCTAACCACAATCAGATCAGATGGTAGGGTCGGAGCTCTACTCATCACCAAACCTTGATCATGGAGGAAAAGCCACCCGATGAGTTTCCGGAGCGTACCCAGCACCCGATACGGAGATGACGGATCGGATCAAGTCGGCCTCGAATGTTGCAAAGAAGAGAGATATAGATGAATATGCGCACCTCATGTGGTCCCGGTGTCTAGGCCTCACCTGGCTGGGGCTGCAGGTTTTTTGAGACTTTTTCCCGCGCACGCAGTTTCCATTGCTACCTTTTTTTTTGATTTTTTTGGGTAGAAGGTTCCGTGGAAAAGGTGGCCGAGTTCCACGGGTAAATACTGAGCTGAATGGCTATTCATCAAGGGGAATGTATTTCACGGATCCGTAACTAGAATTTAAATACTAATTTAAATTCGTGATAAGATGAAGGGGTAGTTAATTAAAACCATCAATTTAATAATAGCTCCCCCTATACAATTAATCATATAAAAAGTCATGTAAGGATATACAAGAGAGTCATGAAGAGAAGGACAAGAATACAGCCATCAATGCGAAGATATTGGCAAGAATTGATTACGATGAATTCCGGTTG